TCTGATTTTCACTATTGCTCAAATAGTGCTTTACTGCGAAGGATCGTGCACATATACGTTTCATAACCGCAGTTCATACATATGTTTCATATGTTTGTTGTTGTTTCATTTATCATCTACGGATTTATGTCGAATTAATTTGATGGCCTGCTCCCAGTTGGCTTGTTAGCTCAATTGGTAGAGCGCTGCACTAGTATCGCAGAGGTCAGTGGTTCGAATCCCGTACAGGCCTGAAATTTTTTTCAGCTCTGATTTTCACTATTGCTCAAATAGTGCTTTACTGCGAAGGAGCGTGCACATATACAAAAAGGACTATTGTTTACTACTAAATGTGTGAAGTTGAGCCGGAACAATAGACCATTTCTTGATACGATATATGCAAATATATATATGCAAATATATATCGCAGAGTACTGGACAGCTTGCTTTGAGTGATTGACTGACAAGGCGCGTTGGATGATAGGCTAGAGCAGCAATCCTTTATTTACTGTGAACGTCACGTGATCTTTAAGAAGAAACGAAACAAAGATGCCACGCCGTATTTCGGAGAATTGTATTTTTTCAAATGGTTGCTGAATCGTTTAGATAAGCAGGCTGCTGGCTTTGTACGTTTTCGAGCGTTTTTGCTTAGTTTCTAAAGAGGTACATGACTAAGTCTGAATAACCCAAAACGTCAAAAGCAGAGCAGCATTTCTTTATCTTAACGATGAAAGCGTTCATACCTCCGATCCTTTACGTGGTGATTCAGTGCCTCACAGGTAAGATTGGCATGGGCTTGTCGTTGATGTTGAAGGTATTGTTTAAAATGTTATCTTCCTCACGTTGCTTTGAAATAACCGAAGATTTTCAGAATATTATTCTGAGGAAACTAATTTGGTCAGTATATATTATTGTGAAACGTTTGTGAAAATATGAAAGTCATATATTTGAACTGCGGTTGAAGAACGAGTATGAGAGCGATCTTCACAGTAAAGAACACTAATGAAGCAGTAGTGGAATTGAGGCCTGAAAAAAAATCAGGCCTGAATCCTTTTCAGGCCTCATTTTCACTACTGCTTAAGTAGTGTTCGTTACTGCGAAGATCGCTCTGATACTGACTCATTATTGTCAAAGTAGTGAGGGCGGAAGTCACAAAAGCGAAAGTGAGAAGGCGGCTCTTGTCTGGCTTTGAAATACGTCAGTAATGAGCTGCTGTTACTAGGCAAACCATAACTATAGGCAAAGTAAGATATAGAGACACGAAAGCAGTTGAGAAATTAATCATAGAAAGAGGAGAGCGAATGTCGCCATTCGCGGTGACAGACACACCGTCTGATATTGTTTAGTATTTCCAGTCGAAAGTTTGTATCGTAGTATACCGTAAAAAACAAAAGAAACGTTCTAGAATGAATAATAAGTACCCAGAACACATTCAGGGTTGTTAATTTCGTATGCGTGAGGAAAGATTTTATTTAAACAACTTAGTTACCTGGAGCTAATTCATCACCGCAAACGAAAACGAAATGGCTTACCTGCTATTCTACGTGCGCCATAGATTGGTCACGTCGTCTGAATGGGTGAGCAGCAGTCGCGGCTACAGTAAAGCGTAGAGGATAGTTCCCTTTCGTTGCTTCAATCTGTAGCTACCACAATATTTCCACAAATTCGGACTATTATTTTCATAAATACCCTGAGTATTCCAAGGGCCTGATTACATGAGCCGGGCTGATTTCTTTTGTTTTGGTGTTCACCAAAGCGTGAAAACAAAAGAAATCAGCCCGGCTAACCGGGCCAGCTCGGCTCATGTAATCAGGCCCTAAGCTTCAGAAATTAAGTATCCATGCTAGATTTCTTTCACTTTTTGTCGCACGAATTTGTGTCAGTTATATGCATGATCTGCATTGGTAAGAAACCCGAAAAAATAATTTTGTCTCGTCTCGATTTCTAAATATCATGGTTGTTTTGAAACTCAGGGATGTTGCCAGCGTAAACTGAGCGTTATATATGGAAGTTACTAATCTCCCCGGGAGCGCTTTGCAGTTCTTCGTCGTTATGTAATAATTTTAATTGTCTAGGTTGTCTCAGTTTCTTAAATTTTTAGAAAAATTTCCAATTGCTGTTCATTTAGTTATCACAAACTTTTGTCGCGAAGACAGAGAAGTAGTTGTGAACGATCAAGTAGACGACAACAACTTTCAAATCAATCCTGTATTTAGGGGGTAAACATCTAACAAAAACAATAACTTAAGGTGGCTGGTACCAGTTTTCATCTTTTTGATGGTTTGTAACTTTGAAAGAATACAACAAAAAGACTGACCAAGGCCAGTTGAACACTTTTACAGGGTTGAATTTTATAATAATTAGTTATCCAAAAAATAATAGGTGTCATTTCGTCACTAGCAGTTTCCATGGCAACGCTATCATAGGCTTATTCAGACGCATTTTTTTAGCCATGGTCGGGTCTGTCAGGTCTTCACTCGTAATACCATAATCAAAGGGTAGGAAGGTGATCCTTCTTCCATAGAGTAGATGAGAGGGAGTCAATGGTTCCTTGTCACCTATGTCGCTTGAAACATAGGTGATTGGTCGGTCATTCAGAGTTGCTTCTATTTCTACAACAAGGGTCTGCAGTTCGACAGGCGTAACCGATGCTCTACCAAGTGTCTTCCTGACAGCTTTCTTTGTCAATCCAACTAGCCGTTCTCAGAATCCACCATACCAGGGGGCACGTTTGGGGATAAACTTCCTGTCAATTCCTTGTCTCCCCAAGGCTTCTTTCAGTGAGGGAGACTGGAACAGTTCTTGAAGGGTTTCTGCAGAGGCTAAATAAGTGGATGCATTAACTGAAATCATGACCACTGGTAGGGATCTACGGCTTGAGAATCTGGGGAACGCTTGAAGGAAGCTGCTCTCTGTTAAGTCTTTGACAACTTCCAAATGAATGGCTCTTGTAACAGCACAGGTGAACTGAGACAAATGTAGTTCTTGGTTTCACCGTTGTCGGATTTCACGTAGAGGGGTCCTGTAGAATCTACTCCCGTTACTGCATAGGGGGGTGCTTCTGGAACTCTTAGCGTGGGTAGAGGAGCAGGATCTGGGGCTCTATAGGCTGCCCCCTCGAGCTTTCGGCATTTTACACAGTGTTCGAGTTGTTTTCTTACATGCTGACGAATGGACGCGATCCAAAAGGTCTGACGAAGTGCAGTTACAGTGGCATTGACTCCAGAATGTAGCTGTTTGACATGAACATCATGGATAATTAACTTTGAGAGTGGATGTCTTGGTGGAAGGAGGAGGGGGAATTTTGCCGAGTCATCTAGTGGAGCATTGTGTATCCGGGACCAGCAGTCGACCTCACGCGTACTCCGAGCGCTATATATAAGATTTATTTATCTCCTCGAGATCGCTTAGAAGTTCCTCATCGACATATAATAGCTTGGATAGTATAGGTTGTCTCGATTTCTTAGGTTTTTTTTAAAATTTCCGACTGCCGGTTATTTAGTTATTTGAGAACCGTGACCAGCAGTAGACCTCATGCAAATTTCTAAGTGTCAACGTCTGCAACATCCATGGTTCCGTACACTGAGCTCCTAGTTAGACATGAAGGAAACGTTAGACATGAGATTTATAAAACAGTACGGGATCACTTAGTAGTTCCTCATCGACACATTGTGTCTGTTTCATAATATGCGGAGGGAATATGCTTGCACAAGTCAGTTGATACTTTAGTTAAACGCTTTTATCGAAAGAAAGGTATAAAAATTATATGAAAAAGTGCTTAGCTAGAACTTAAAATGAAATCTCGGAGACTATCTTAACTAAACAAAACCTTTTTTCCTTGTTGATGCAAGAATCATTTGTCTTTGTTTTGTTTTGTTTTGTTTTTAATTATTATAATAAATCTGCATACGTTTCCCAGAAACTGTTTCGAATCCCTTAGGTGATATCGCACCCTTTCTGAGAAAAAGAGGAACTGAAACGGGTGTTACGAACTAAAGACCCTCGAAAATGAAGACCTAAGACCTAAGACCCGTCTTAGTTTTCGAGATTACGAAAACTAAGACCCCCTAAAATCGAATCCGTCGAAATATAAAGTCAAATTGGAAATCGCGACCAGGTATTCCTTGCGACTCTCCAAGGTTTGTTTTTCAATTTGTCCTGACCGCTGCCGATCACTTCTTGCGTAAAAACTTACGAAAGCTGTGAAGTAGAAAAACGTCGGCAAAACGTAGAAGTCAGTTAAAGTGACCGATTCTACCAGGGAAATTTTATTGTCTGGAGCTTGGACTTGCCAGGAGAGTTTCCTTGACAGCTGAAATACACCCGATGTTATGAAACCATTTGTGAAGACATCACGTTTTTTCTTCGCTTTTTTTGTCACATTTCTTCGCTTCGTGATGTTACAGTAACACGGGAAATCTAACCGGATTTATTATCGAACATGAGCCTTCTGTGGGTTCTTAATTTAATATCCACGTGTGTGCTGTTCCACAGTTATAACGCAAGGTAAGTATCTTTCAGTTTTCCCTCGTTACGTTACTCGTTGCGTTACTCCTTTAGATTTGTTTATACACGTGACTATTCCTCGCTTTTTTATTGGACAGCGCTCTCAGTTTATACTATGGACTGTACTAGCGCCACGAGGTAGTCGGAATTTTCATTCGCTAGTGTTGTAAAAGCTTTCTTTTTCACTTAAGACAATAACAAATATTGTCGGTTACACTGCTGGTGAATCGCTTCGGACACTCTCCAAAGCTCAGGACGCTTTCGAGTTCACCTTAAGCGAGATGGATCAGAACAACGTGCAATCCGCCAAAACCTAGCGCGTGTGCATAAGGTAACGAAATCTCGATCGCAGAGACACGTAGAAAAACACCATCTCCAAGGGAAAGCCAATTTTATGATTAAAAGGATAAACAACAAAATTAAAGATCAATTAGGGTAAGGCATATTTTCAGTGTACAATTATACGTAGGTAGTATATGGCTTTCATCGTCTTCATAAAGCCACATTGCTGAAAATATATGTCTGCAAATTGTTAGAAGAAGCGGATCGTCTAGCACGCGTACGATTGTAGTTTTTGGTTGTTTTACGGATTATAGTCTTTGAAAGGTCGTAATTCGACTTTGTAGACATTGAACGGACTGTTTTAGTGGGGGTCTTAGTTTTCGTAATAAAACTAAGAGGGGTATTAGTTAAAATCGATGTTAGCGCTTCCCCATATTGCAAGTACAGCAGCGTTTTTGCTCGATTAATCGAATAGGAGCTTTCTGTGGGTTCTTAGTTTAATGTCCACGGTCGTAATTCGACTTTGTAGACGTTTTACGGAATGCTTTGGTGGGGGTCTTAACTAAGAGGGGTCTTAGTTTTCGAGATTACGAAAACTAAGACTCCTAAATTTACCGTTAAATTTGACCTAAAACTCGATGGAAAGGATCGGACAATAGATAATTTGACAGATTAGACCTGTTTTGGTTACAATTTGGGATCAATTAACGTTTCTGGGCAATCCAACACGTTAATGACATATAGAGGACGAATAAACAATCGCACACTGTGGCAGTCTTATCAAGGACGATTAAGTAACACAGGAAAAAATTTAAGATTCCAATGTTGGGAAATAGTGTGTTTTTTATTGGTATATTTTTGGTTTATCTTTGGAATAAGTAAATGACATACCAATGTTGGTAAAGTGTTATATATCCCAACATTGGCAAAACAAAAATAAGATGTCAATATTGGTAAAGAGGGATCCAACATTGCTTAAACAAGATATTATACCAATATTGGTAAAGAGGAAACCAACATTGGTAAAAAAATATGCCAATATTGGTATAGATGAAACCAATGTTGGTAAAAGGAAAATAATTTTCCAATAATGGAATGGAGGAATCCAACATTGGTAAACAGAAAATAATATACCAATATTGGTGTGGAGCAATGCAATGTTGGTAAAACAAAAATTATATGACAATATTGGTATAGAGGAATCCAACTTTGGAACAGAAAAATAATATGCCAACATTGGTAAAAGTAATCTTTTATTATGTACCAACAATGGAAAATTACTAGTTAGTAAGATGGGAAGCAAGGTTTAGTTTCCAACAAAGAGAAATATCCTTGATATTTGTGGAAACCATTTCTTTAAAATCTGTGATAAAAATGAGTTACATGCATATGTATAGCAGTGTGGCACTTATACATTAAAATAAACAATTCCAACATTTTGGAAATATGTTGGTAACTAATAACATGCATTGTAAGTAAAATGCACACATTTAAACAAAATGTGCTTCAAAAAAACACATCTTCCAAGTCTATAAGCTTCAAATTTTAAGCCCTTTAAGGAGGACCTCTCTTACCAACTGATTTAAACCAAATACAATATTACTTCCCCTTCAGCAAGATAACTGGGCTATCTTCCTTGCTTTTAACACACCATTGAATTTTGAAAACAAGACATTTGTCAATTTAACTGGAACAAGGCATTTATGGTCTCCACATTAAGAAGTATAAGGGACTTCAAAACCACTAGAATAGGTTGGAAAAGAAGAGTCAGTGGTTATTGAGTCTGTGTCTCCATTATCATCATACTCCTCTAGGTCTGGATAATTACTCTTAAGTTGATCCTTCTTTTTGCACACAATATCTCTCTTAAGATTCAAGAAGTTAACCTCAACACCTTCCACAGGACTTCTGACCTCAATGTAGCCTTGACTGATAAGTGCTTTTGCTATCTTCAAGGATAATTGATATTTTCCCAATGAACGATATTTGACAGTTAATTTCTTGGCTAGAGGATAAAGATGCTTTACAACTGTAACATCTTGCATTGATTTAACTTCAAGAAAAGTTAGAACTACAATAGCAGCACTTTTTGTGGTGATATCATCCAGGCTCGAACTTGCTTTGCAGCTGCTTACTTTGTCAGCAGGGCCAAAATCTAGTTCATCTATAAAACGAAGAAGAAACAAAGGCATGTTACTGTACCATACAATACATTGATTACCTTTCGTTTTTAAACTTTATTAATGCATATTTATTCAAGAGACAATTCTCACAAAATATCACACTTAAGGGTTTACATGTACCTTACTCTGCTGTATTACATGTTGACTCAGCCCTAGATCCAGAGCAGGACTTTTTGGCCCTCTTTTCAGGTGTGTGTTCAGCCTGTTTTCAGTGGAGAAAAGCAATTATTTGAAATCAACAACAATAATGAACGTGTAGAAACCTTAGCAAACCTTGGAGCAGTTTTTGTTAACCATTTTTTGGAAAAGTCATGAATTGAAGGGCAAAAGGAAAATTGTTTGTGAAGAAATTCTAGCTATGTGGCTGTAGAATGTTACATGCAGCATTTAGAAAGCATCCATGCATTACTCTCAAATGCTTTAGTACCCCTGCTGCAAAAGGTAAAATGTGACTCCAGGCTACCCTCAAATGTTGGTAGTAAAGTGCTTGTGATTCTTACAATTTGTATGGGTAGTTAAAAAATTATTTGAAAAACATTGTAAACCAAGTTAGCTTCCCAAACAATCCAGAAAAAATGGTGATGAACACTGCCAGAATATCTGTTCAAAAAATTGTCTCCATAAGTACAACTTAGGAAAAGCCAAATTAGCAACAGATGGTCACAAATTAAATATTGACTTATTGGCCTGCGAGCTCACAGGCTATGACAAAAAGACTTACTTATTTATTTACTTATTTATTCTTAGGAATATGTAGTTCCAGGAAATTGTGAAGTTACTTGTACATGTAAGCTTATTAAGACTTAAGCTTCAGCTTAGTAAGCTTAAATACCGCAGCTAGTTTTAGCTTACTTGAAAAAAGGGCTGCTACCTCTTTAAATCCCTGGAAAGTGAGCCAGTTCTTCATGTCCTCCACAGTCCAGCCTGAGTTAATAACACGTAGAAACTACTAAGTTACATTTGTGAGAGCAAAACAGACTTGAATTGAAAAGTTAGCTTGTGCAAATTACCAAGAACTATGCAGGATCGATGGTGCGCAATGCAGGTTATTCAGTAGCAGAGTAATGCGACGTATTACTCATTCTGGCTTCTAACAAAACTCACATTTAACATATTTCGTCTTCCACATGTCCAGGCCATCATTACCTGCTTCCAATTCGCTACATGTGTCTACCATTGAATTCAATAATGGTATACCATTGGTACCTCATGGTATATGTGTTTAGGAATTCCAATAATCTTCCATTATTGGTATGTATCTTGCTTGAACTCCCAATCATTATCCAATGAAATGCCAATATTGGCAGATCTTATAGTGAAATGTTCACCTAAACTGGTGTACCATTGTTATCTTATCGGTAAATGTGTTCGGGAATTCCAATAATCTTCCATTATTGGTATGTATCTTGATAGAACTCCCAATCATTATCCACTGAAATACCAATATTGGCAGATGTTACAGTTAAATGTTGATTGAAATTGGTATACCATTGGTATCTTATTGGTAAAGGTGTTCAGGAATTCCAATAATCTTCCATTATTGGTATGGGTGTTGTTAGGTTTACCAATAATAATTTATTATTATCCAATAAAGTACCTATGTTGGCATATCTAAATTTACATTTTTTGGTACATCATTGGTATAATATTGGTAGCCTTAAAAATAACCAATAATATGCCAACGTCGGATTATCATACGACATATTTACCAATGTTATTCCAACTTGGAATCTTAAATTTTTTCCTGTGTAATCCACCTCGATTAACACCAATCGAGCTCGAAATGGAACACTATAATCGGATAAATTGACGTTTATCAGCCAAATGCCTTGCAGAACATGCCCAGAATCCCTACAATATAGGGTGAGGGCCAAAATAAGAGCAGCCGAGGATTTCAAAAATGAGATAAAGCAAATCCCTAACAACGCAGAGCAAGAAACAGTAAAGGCGATCATGTGCTTCTATGAACGTGAAATCGGTCGTTTTAAGACCGAAATAAAAGAAAACGAGCCAAAACGGCTGGAACAATGAACACTAAGAACTGTAGTACGATCGAATCAGCGCGCGTGGCGCAAGCTGAAAGCAATCAAGACAACTTAACGATCGAGACAGAAAAAAAAAATAGCTGTACATCTACAAAGGCGAACGATTGGAAAAAGACGCAATCCCTGATGTGCGTGCTCATTTTAAACAAACTGAGACATTTTAGTATACACACTATAGTTCCTGTCACCCACAAGGAAATAAAAAAAGACTTCATAAAAGGGGAGACCCTTAGACTTCTAAAAACAAACTCCTCTCAAACAGTATTCAAGGAGAAAATTACAAATGAAACGCATTTGCTAAAGAGAGGCTACCCAGAGGACCTCATTGGCACAACCCTCTCAGAACTGAATTAAAAAACAGGAAATTAGCTCTTCAACAGAAATAAAAGACGAACCAACGAATCTTGCCTTTTGTTACACAATACCAACCGTCCGTGTCAAACCTAAAGCAAAGTCTCATGAGACACTGGCATTTAATAGAAACACAACCACCACTGAACGACATATACAAAAATCCGCTTCTCGTATCTTACAAAAGAGGACGGTCGCCCAAAGACATACTCGTTAGGGCCAAACTTTGAATAGGCTACTCTAAACACGCGCTGGGGAGTCGTGTTGGCCTGTCAACCCCATTTTACAAGTTAAATATATCATAGATGATATCATGACGAACCGGTAACCTCTATGCAGTCGAGGTAATAGACGGAGAGCGACTGGTAACAAGAAACCGCTGCGTCTCGAAATTTGGGGATTTTGGCGGATCCATATACAATTACTGGAGAGAATGCGTGACTGTAGACCGACGTCATAAGGAAGGTGTCACACTAAGGAAATAAGCTACGAATGAAATTATCAATACTGATCTGTTACCATCCTCGCTCCATTTGTAGCTCAATCTTATCTCTTCAATGTCCTTCCATACCAAAGTAAACCATTGTGACAGGCTTTTACCGCAAAAATGATGATATCGATGTGATTGAAATTTTGAGAGCAACAATTTTTCGTAATGTTTTGTAATGAGCCGTGATAGAGGTTCAGGACTTTACATCTAAAATTTAAGATGCTTTTTGAGGGAGAGTCTGCATCTGCACGACACGGTGCTAGTCAACGTATGTAGTATGGTTATCACCAGCCACTGATCAATCTGTGAAACGTGTGCAATCCGGCATTGAGAAACAAACTGAACAAAAAGATAACCACAATTTGGGTAACTTTCCTTGAGAGTGAAATTTACCGATATCCTTGGTGGATTATCAAGCTTCAAGAGAACATATTATCGGTATAAATAGGCCCAGCGTCACTGAGGCTAACAAGCCCTTTATCCTTAAAGGTTATACATACGAAGGGACCAGTCATTATTTGTCACCCTGAGAGGGTGCAGGATTTTTTTCTTGGGGAGAGGGGGTCACAAGGTTTTCAGGGGGGAATGGAGGGGGGATCAGTCGTGGTTAACAGAGTAAAACGGGGGCACTATAGAAAATTAACTGCCAGAATGTCCTAAGTGGGGATTAGGTAGATTTTATTGCGCCACAACCAAAGTACTTCACCCCCGACGGGATGAATAATGACTTGTGCTTTACCATGTCATTTACAGGATCTACTCAAGCTATAGTTTATCCAAGGATGATCTCTGCTCCAGACAAGACAACAATAGCCGTCATTGGCAAAACTGTTTCATTAAGGTGGCAATACAATTCAGGAGATCTGAAGGATGATCTATACGAGGTGGTTTTTGGTATTTGGAAGAGTCCTGGGTTCCTGAAAACAAAGTTGGTAGCTGTCAACTCGAGTGGTTTTTCCTTAACTAGGTCTACGTATAAGTCATCAGTGGGTTGGGCAGGAAATCTGACATCCTGTATGGCTGTGTTTGAGCTTTACAATGTAAAGCTTGAAGACAGCAAAACGTATGGAATTGTGGTAGAATATGGCCTCCAAAATACCCCGTTGACTGGCACAGTTCAGCTCCAAGTTGTGTCCGGACTTCAAGCTAGATTGAGACGTAAGTAATATCGTTAACGGATAGCTCAGAGAGCGTTCGTTTAGACTCAAAATTGTATTTCAGGTTGCTGTGATTATGGTTCATTTGTGGGTCATACGATGGGGTCCACGGAAAAGAGGAGCATGCTGTCTCTTCAACGAATGCAAAAGTTGATAAGATTATAGGCCCATTGCTTTGTTCAGTGGGGATCCAAGACGTAGTTACTTGATCAGCAGGGTTCCTAAAAAAAGTCTCCCAAAAGAGAGGCCACACTGAGTTATTCTGATAAATCGATAACGGTAATTTCAAGATCAATGCGAATTGTGAGTATAACTCAATTCAATGTAATTGTAGGTTATTAATTTTTTGTTATAAATACGATAAAACTGTCGTCAGTTCTATACAAACTCTGTTTCCTTCGATTCATGAATGGCCAAACACTACATCTAGCTACTGGAAGACTGATCCAGACAATTGTGGCGTTTGCAGCCATTCCCAATCTACCGAGAACGAAGATCACCGATCAATAAACCGCTACCACGTAATAAAGAAGGAGCAGGGAGCGGGAAAATATTTATTATCATACTGTTCGGAAAAAACAAAGGTAAATGAAAAATTCAGCCTTGAAGGAAATGTGTGTCGGATGCGAGGATCTGGGGTCTGGCTGTTAAGATGATACGATATTCTCAACTTTAAACTAAAAGTTTTTACTCTGCCGATTGTGTTTCCTTTTAAAATTGCCAGGTATGAAAGTTAATTTTGCGTAAATTCTTAGACACAGATCCACCAAAGACTGCTACTCCACAACAAAGAAATGTCACCGCAGCTGTGAGAAGCACTGACAAACGTGGGTCTCCAGCCACTTCAGAAGGTAATGTCCTTATTTTGCTGGTCAGCCCATCCGAACTAATGAATAAATAGAGAAGCCAAGTGGATTTTAAGCTAAATAATGAAAACAATTAAAATCACCTGACTAAGGTATTTGACACCCTCAGGAGACAGCTATGGCGAGTCTCTACTTAGCCCAATGGTTAGGGTTGGGGTTGCAGAAATCCATTGACCTTTTTCCAGTATTTTGATGTTAGGGTTACAGTTTAGGGTAGGGTTACAGTTTAGGGTTACAGTTACAGTTGCGTTAGGGTTTGAGCAACCACAAGTCAAGTGACAAGCATTCTCATTGCCCTCTAGCAGTCCGGAGGAAGTATCCAGGTGGTACTGCTCTTGCTGAGCCCAAGACATTTTGCATTAACCTGATTATTTTAAATCTGTGACTTGCAGTTTGTGCTCTAATCCCAAATTGAGCTCTCCAAGGATGTTGACAACTACGCTCTATTCTTTATTAAGATTCACACAAAACTTTCTAGTTGTACTGATATCATAACTAGTTAATAGCTTGCATAGTTAGAGACATGAAAATAGCAATATAGTAACAAAAGGAAGATTTTATTAAATCTGGCGTTCATCTTATTCCCCACTAACTATATATTATATCTTTTCTTTCTTTTCCAGTTCCCGGAACGCCACCAGGAATACCTAAGGTTGTTAGTACTGCGTGGATCATCTGCTTAGTGGCAATTACTGTATTACTTATAGCTGTTTTGATAATACCCTCAGTGTATCGCTCTCGAATATCTTGGAAAAAGGAGATACCTTATACGAGGCAAACTGACTATAAAGGATCTCCTGAATCTTTTACTCCTAGACAGTGTTAAGCTTTCACTTACGATAGACATTCCGGTTACTCCTTTAGCCAACGTTAAGTTTTTACTGAATATAAGATGAACGTGAAAACGAGAAACGGCCAGAGACTGAGAGAGGAAAAAGATAAGAGAGCCCGCAAGTGTCCGATAGCGATATTCCCAATGAGGTCTTAGAAACATAAACAGACACTGGTCTGATTTAGATTGACTCCATGCATGTATTTCACCGAAACCTGGCCGTACGTTAAAGTTAAAATTCAGTCATAAAAGTATAGGAAGCTAGATTTGGCAAAGTGCCTTTTGATGAAGTATTTTTAGGTCTATAATTTTATTAGTTAGGTAATACTATCAATTGTAAATATAAACATTACCTTATGTTTATACATAAGTCTTTTTTATACTATATTACAACTATTGTTTATGTATCTTTTTATTCTATACACGACCCCACAAGCTGCACAGCTTCAATACTTATCGTGTCTAAGTAAAGATTTTACTTACTTACTTACTATGAAATTTACCCGATAAAATAGCCACATTTTCTTCTCAATATCCTTAAAAGTAGGGCTTACCTTCATAAAGGCAAAATGTTTCTAAAGAAACTGTGGTGCTGCGTCGGTGGGGGTAACAAAGTAATTTGGTTATATCAACTAAGTTGAAATTGTGAATTGGCCACCGTAACGAATAAAAAAGCTGACGTTTCGAGCGTTAGCCCTTCGTCAGAGCAAATGGAGGAATTGTGGGTTGTATGTGGGTTTGTATGTAGAAGCGGAGGTACACCACTGGTGGGAACATGGCAACGAGAAAAACACGAATAAATTAGTGGAATGAAAAGCGTTCGTTGATACTGTGGGATTAAGAGTGCCGATTCGAAAGATTAATTTTTGTTCAAGAGTTTTGCGGCTTTCCTTGTTACCTAAATGTAAGGAAAGACCGCAGATTGCCATATGTTGTTTAGAATGATTCGGTAAATTAAAGTGTCTAGCGACTGGTTCTGATGCGTCCTTGTCAGTCCTTTCTACGTCGCAAAGGTGTTCTCGGAATCGGTCACCTAGTCGTCTTCCTGTTTCGACAATGTATAACTTTTAGCAACAAGTGCAAGTTATGCAATAGATTACGTTGGCGAAGGTGCACGTGAAGTGATGGGGGATCTTAATGGATCGCTTGGGTCCCAATATTTTCTCAGCGTTGAGAATGAAGGGACAAGTTTTGCATCGCGCGCGAGCGCATTTAAAAGTGCCTGGTTGGTCATTAGTTTGGAATGAACTTCAGACCAAAAAATTGCCTATGTTTTTGTCGCGTTTGAATGAAATAAGTGGCGGTTGCGAAAAGATAGTGCCAGTCTCTGGATCGTGAGCACTAGTTCAGCTAAGATTCTGGATAAGTGTGAGCACTAGTTCAGCTAAGCAAAGTAGGGTTTCAGATTTAGGTTCCTTAACAGTACGTTGATCAAAAAAATGTTTGAGGACCAGAAGACCTTCGCCATTAGGAATGACAGTGTGAAGAGATGTAATGTCCATGGTGAAAAGAAGTTTGTTCTGGCCAAGAAAATTGAAGTTGCGAAAAATTTGAAGAGCTTGTTGGCTGTCTTTGATGTATGATGGTAAAGTTTTGACGATGGGTGCCATAATTTTGTCTAAGTAGCTGGAAATAAGTTCGGTAGGGCAACTGCAAGCCGAGACAATGGGCCGACCTGGGTTGTTAGGTTTGTGAATTTTAGGTAACAAGTAAATACAAGAAGTTCTAGGAGTCATCAAACTAATGAGATTCTTTGCAGTAGCCGGCAATTCTTGTTTAGCTATGAGTTCGTTAATGGTATTTTTGACGATGTTTTGATTAGTCGAAGTAAGATCTTTGTCAACCTTTTGATAAAAAGAGGTGTCAGAAAGTTTGCCGCAAAGCTTCTTTTTGGTAGAGGTCAGTCCGCCAAGCAACTACTGCGCCGCCCTTGTCGGTCGCTTTGATTACAATGTCTTTGCGGTTTTTAAGACTTTTTAGTGCCGACCACTCTTCAGACGAAAGTTTGGAAAATTTGGGACTACGATTGAAATTAAGTTTGTTAATATCGTGGCGACACTTCTTGTTGAAAAAGTCTAACGATGCGAACTGGCCCTCTGGGGAGTCCATTTAGACTTTCGATTCTGAAGTGTTTCGAAAGTGTCTTTGTTGGAGGTGTTGGAGTCATCCTCTTTGTTGTGAAAAAAGGAAAAAAGGCTTTTAATTGAACGCAGCGAAGGAATTTTTCTACGTCTTGTTTGACTGAGAATTCGTCCGTTGTTTTAGAAATGGGAACAAAATTTAAGCCCGTGCTGAGGACGGATTTTTCTGAATCGGAAAGTGCAAGATTTTCTGGAATAGTAACTACGATTTTGAGGTTTTATGGTGATGAGCGGTTAGCAATTTGGGGACCGTTAAGTAGTGGTCAAGTTTTTGGGTCTTAATTTGGTTCACGTGATTGAAAAGTTTCGAATTAGTTTCCTGAATTTTGACGCAATTGGACTAAAAACCGCTGGACAGATTTTGGAAAGTTCAGAGCGGCAATGTAGAATTTGTTCGGTGAGGTGATTGAGTTTTCTCGGCTTACCTTCATAGTTTCTTACATCTGCTAAAAGGAAACGGTGGTACCGATTCGCTTCTCTATCATCGTGTCCGAAAGATATGACAATAAACCTTGCAAAGCAGACGTTTTCCACACCAAAACATCCTTTGACGCGGTGCCTTTTCAATGTCTCACGAAGTGTTTTTCATTAATGCAAGAAACAAGGACATGCAGCCATTACTGAAGCAAATTGGCTCCCTCGATCATTTTGTTTTGGTTTCAGTGAGGCTGTCATTTTCTTTGAACGTGTTTTTTTTTTTTTAAGTTCAGTGGTATTTCCTATATCAATAGAAGTGCCGCTTCACACAAGAAATGGCCAAGATTCGAAAAAAGCGGGATTTTGGAGGGAAAATATTGTTTTATTTTATCCGCCATGTCTGACATTACCCCAAGAAATTCTTTTCAACCCTGGAGAATTTACTCAGTAGAGACCGCGTTAGCATAGCCTCAACAGTTGCTGTAAACTATGCCACCATTAAAGAATGACATTACCTTGTAAATGAGAAAGAGAGATATCCAGAAGATGGACAATTACAAGACAATGACAAGGCCCATGGTGAAGGAGGTGTGTGTTTTCCCACAGGAAATTAAAAGGACCTTGAATTTTTCCCTTTAAACTAGGACAAATGAAGTCTGCAGTGCTTAGGGTATTCAAGCTATGGTAGAGGCCCTTGAACCGCTTGTTCCTTTTGCATCCGCCATATTGAAAACCTAAATTTACGCGCCCGCGGGTAGAGCCGCTGACTGTGTAGGATTTCTGACTATGTTTTAGGGAATTACGTCGATATAGTTCAACTTTCAGTTTGATCGATCCACATCGGATTTACGGAAGACCCAAGCTCATCGAACGAGGAAGGAGGCGCTGAGTCGATCGATGCAAATATCAAGAACGTGTCCACATGTACGCGACTGGCAATTTTGAAGTGTAATTGTCGCAGATTAATGAACAATTTTCCAACGAAATATCCCTGACTAGTCAAGTTAAGTTGCCTTTCAATTTTAACTTCTCCGGTGAATCCGATGAAGCGAAAAAAGATTTGTTGGATAGTTTCCCACCTCTTCAGTACACCAGACATTCTTAACACTTCTGAGAATGAAGGAAAAGAAATTCCGGATTAAAACAATATCTAGATATCATATAATCATTAAACTCTGAACTGGTTTATTGAAGGACGTCTTGAAAAACTAATTTACTAGATAATAATTTTCTCTCCATGAATATCCAAGATAATCTCCCTATGACTCAAATTCCTCCATAAATCCGTTCACAACTTCGTTTATAGTCTAATATTTCTTATGAATGACCACTGTTTTTCTTAAAATTTAATCATTGAAAGTCGCAATTTGTTATTTCTAAGATAACTCCTCAGAAACCAGCTCAGGTCTAACTCCTCACTCAACGCCACAGTCGACTCAGGTCTACAGAAGCAGTACAACTAGCTCTGGTAAGCGGTTCTTTCTTAACTTTTTCCAATTTCATTTTCTCTTCGGTTTTATTTACTTGGTGATTTCTATCGCGTCAGTTCACCTAAATTCTCATAGAGAATATTGTATCCTTTATTTTCTAGGCGCCAGCAATTCACAAAGGGCCTTACGAACATATGAAAATCGTATGTGGATGATATCAACCATTCCTGCAACTGTCATTATGGGTGTGAATCAAAGCATTAGGTTTTATTTTTCACTTTAAACGTTTGGAAAAATTTTTTAAGAGACTACTGCACGATTGAGAAATAGAAATAGTTCTGAAATAACTAGGAGAATTTGCAGCATGAACTCAGTTCTTTCGTAGAGACCTCTTTGGTTAAAATTACCTTCCAATTGTTAGTTAGTTTAAGGACTTTCGTCAAGAATATTATCTAGACTAGACAAACCCTTTTCTATGCATTGTGCATTTTCTGATACATTTTGCTAGCTTCAACTGAAGAGAGTTCTTACAAGGGATATTTCTTCTACAGCATAGCAGTCAAAAGTTTGTGTTTGCAAGAGTGCTCTTATAAATAGAAACCAATCGGGATAAATTTTAGTCCCACAAGATAGCCGATTTATTGTCTAAACGAGGAAGGAAGGTGGAACTTCCTGATTGTATCACGTCTGAAGATAAATAGAACGAATGCAAGAAACATGTCACGCCTTCTACTGAGAGCTGAAGACTGAGTCATTCTCCATCAAAACATGTGACAATTGCGCAAAGAACCTTCTATTGTCATGAAATTGAAGTCATCAGATAGTCTTGTGAGTGTCCGGTAATTATTGCCCGATCAATGTTGGGTGATAGACCCTTTCCTCATTTAGTTTGACTCTTCAGTACTCCCTGCCTTTCCTCATAAAACTTTGTATGTTTGTAAAAATAATAAAAAAGAAAGATTAAATTTGATTCTTCTTAAAAGAGATTGAAGCCGACGCTTTACCTTGTTCAGTCGTACCTGCGAAATGTACTAATAATCAAGTCTCTCTCGGCATGCGTTTTGGGCGCTGGGAAATTCAAAAAACGTATTTACTGAGACTTCCTATGCAACGCCTCGATCGTAGTGAGGCGGGAATTTTGATATTCAGAGGGAACTCAGTTCTCTCGCAGCCTAATTTGCACAAATATTTTCGGTGGGCAACCTCGTCATGAACTACCACCGAAAAACTTAAGTCCAAGAAGACATTTTAACTAGACCCAAGGTAATTAATTGCGGGTTTTCTCACTATATTGCACCTCCCTCCATTTTTACGGCCAGGTTGCTGGGTTCTGAATAGGTATGCTTATTGAAAGCGCCAAGAAATCTGGGGAATTTAGTTAATGGACACAAACTTCAGATCGAACCAGTGGTGAAAACTTTACTTTGAGGGAGGCGCGCAACGTGCGTGACTCCTGATAACCACGTGAAGATAAACCAAGAATACGCTATGCTGCTGTGTGCGCCTTTCGGTGGAATTTTGCAGAATCAAAAGAGCCACATTATTTCATCTTCCGGAAAATTGGATTAATCAAAGCAATGAAGAAACGTTCGATACTTTGGATTTGTTATTTTGTGATTCATTGCGTCACAGGTAAGCCGGCAGACAGTTCTTCGCG